GTCACTTGCTAAGGGGTCTTGGAAAGCTCTTTTTTAGTTTTGTGTTGCCTTTACTTTCAGCTGAAAAAATATATCCAATGCCTACCTAAAAGCTGCATTTCAGTATAGGTGACTATAAAGAAAGCCCCTCTGTGGTCCCTGTGTGCTATCCAGCAGAGTATTTGCAAAGGAAAATTGTGTCTCCCCAATCCCATATAATTCCTGTGACATGTCAGTAGAGCTGTGTACGAAGTTGAGCCAGCTAAGATAATTTTCAAAAGGTATTTGACAGGGTCCTTTATGAGATGCAACAAAAATTTCTTAAATCACCCTCTGTGAGAGAAAAAATATTATGAATCAAGAATTGGCTAGGTGAGCACCAGCAAAGAGGAGGATTAAACAGTCAATTTTCTTAATGGGCCAATGATATGTTTGAGTTGTGGCAGCGAATGAACAAGGTAATACATGTGGCAAGAATTTAAATTTAGATGAGACTGAATTCATGACTTGTTTTTAATTACAATTTTTCTGAATCAGTTCGCCCATTCCTAGAATCATACACCACACAGCAAGATTGATAGCACTAGATAAACAGCATTGCCTTGAGTTTGGAGTAAATACTATTATTTACCTCTGCATGGTACTTTTCCTGAAAAATTACCTACAAGCTAGGGTTAAAAGCCCCAAACAAAACACCACAATGCTGACATTAATCCACAGGAAATGTCTCGTTACTTAATTGTTGCTGCAGAAACTACATTTGGAGCAAGGATACACAGTACTATAGATTTCTTTATCTGAAGGTTTTCCCTTCAGTGAGAAGAAAAGCATAGTTTGTATGCTGACTAAGATTAACTAGGTTTAGGCATTTTTAACTTGTAGAGCTGGACATTTACGTATAACTGCTGAAAACTGATTTACAACAGGCAGAAAAGAACACGGTTGCAGAATTTCAATGTGCATGTGGATGAAACGTGCCGTTACCACCACCACAAAGATGTCAGCTGGAAACAGCATCACTGTAACCCGTACAAGGAGAAGCATGCATTAATAAAAATGAGGGCAATCAGAGGTCTACCGAGACCTCTACTGAGTGGCCCGTTGTAATTTGGATGTCCCTCCCCATAGATGCCTCCTCTGCTGTCCCCTTGCCCACCTTGTCCCTGTACATGCAACCTCTGCTGGTCCTCGCCATCCCAGGCCATCTGAGCTGCCCTTCAATCTGGTACATCTGGCTGCAGGAGGAGCAGGGCTGTCATCGTCATCTCAGATAACCTGTCCTGCAGATGGGCATGCATGCTTCTCCACTTTCTAAGCAGTCTGCTCAGGGCTTCATTCTTCAGTTTAGAAATCTGTTTTCCACACTTTGGGACCCAAAATGGTGTCTGAGTGTTTCTTTTAGTGAACATTGTTTAGGACTCTAAGGTTAGTGAAATCAAGGTGGGAGAAAGATCTAAATCGGTTTAAGATCAGACCCTGGCCTTGTAATGGCTGGAACATTACCTGATTCAAGATATTTCAGAAACATTTTTTGTCCTATTTATGTTTAAAACATCCCAGAATTATTTCTCATTCTGATTTCAAAAATCATTTGTGCCAATCATAAGTCTTAATATCAGTTGGAAGGTGCAGAAGATCTTAAGAACATTTACATTGTTAGTGCTGTTCATCAGCAGATTTGAAATGCTGGCTTCGGTCCAGTGGATATTTTATGCCAATACTGCCAATCCCTAACACCAAAGACAGACAAGTTAGCTGACCAGAAAAGAGAAGCTGTGCATGAAATATTATTCTCACCGTCCTTTTGAATTCCAAGTTGAATCCTTTTTATTTAGTTGGTTAGACAGTTGCCTTTCAGGCTTACATTTTCAAGAATTTCACACCATGCACTAAGAAAAATCTTTATATAATAATATGCCACCACTAGTGCTTTTAATCTGTGTCAAATATCTTCAGAGAGAGCCTAAAATCACAAGAGTTGGTGCACAGGGACATATTCTATACTTGTTTCTGCTTGCCGTTGACCTTTCTGGACACCTAAATCCTTCCTTCTGTTTTCTAAGATTCTCTTCTTGGCAGTCAAGTGGAGACTGTGCCCATAGTTTAATGCTTCTCTCATCAAAAAATATTTTACTGCATTTAAAGCTTACCACTGCTCAAAGTTGACAACCCATAGTTTGCAGATTTTTTTATATATTATGTTTTCTGTTTACATTTTAGTTTTTGTTTTCTAATTTGATTTCATTTCTAAGTCATCTGAATTTCAAAGAATAGCAATAAATAGATGGTAGGATCACAATTCAAAATATTATTCTGGTAAAATCACATTCAGATATTCATTATAATACCAATTATTAACCAAGGTAAATATCAGTGATATTACTAAATCTGTGTGTCAGAAAAGGTTACATCAAACTTAAATTATGTAGAAAACTTTATTATATACGACAACTCAACGTACAAAGGGAGGAGAAGAGAAGTTAAATGAAAAAAAAAAAAAAAGAAAAAAGGACGATTAAGGCCATTTTTCATTGAAGTGTGGATGAGAAATAATCTTGGGGAAAAGAAAAAATGAAAGATTTTGACATGTCAAAAAAAAAGGTCACCCTTATTTTTAATCAGCCCTCTAGTCCTTTCCATGGATGAAGGTATCATTGTCAGACTTGGGCAGGCAAGAAGGGAGGGAAGAGCCCTGCTCCTGCTAACAGATTGGTTTCTGCACAGCATATAGCAGACTTCTCAGAGGATGTTTCCATGAAGGTGACAGTGGGGGTCAGCCACTGTATAACATGGAGGAACTGCTGCTTAGGCAAATGGAAATCATAAGTACTGAGCATTTCACAAGTAGGATGACTTTAGGTCAAAACCACCAGAAGCTCCCAGGCTGTTTGGCCCAATTCTTTGATTGACAGAGGTATAAAGCATTGCCCTTCAAAAGAAAGGAGTACATAATTCTTTCTTTTTCAAGCTTTGGTTCTCAGAACATTAGCTCGTAGGAAAAAACACTTCATTTGGGAATGGAGTTTTACAGGTGGAAACACCTTTCCTCTGTATGCACAGTATCCAATTTTCTAGAAAGTAAGCAAATGGTCATGTAAAAGAAAAACAGAAAAAAGAAAATGAGGAACTGATCCTTTTTTAGATCACAGCCTTAGGAGTAGAAGTCCCTATTGCAACTCTGCTTTCCGCCAATTTGCTGTCATAAACTCTTACAGTTGGAATATTTCTCAGTATGCAATTCATTCATCATTTGTAAATATCAGCACCTATGGTACTTGCAGCTGTAGGACTGCTCCCTTCCAAATGTCAAAATGCTTGCCTGTGTTTTTAGTAGCCTGAGTTTTTGCTTGCCAGTGTTTAAAGAACTTACTGTATATTAAAACTTACTATATTGCTGGCACTTATCAGATAAACGAGTCATAAGATGAACAATCTGCCTCAAAGAACTGAAAAGCAAAGCAATTCTGATACTGAAACTGCAAACCACATGATGTGCTGATTACAGGCACCCACATAGATTACAGAAGTATAATAAATCATGTAACTTTTTAGCCTCAAATAAAATAAAAGAATGTAGTTTTTATTAGGAAATAAACTGTTTATCAAGAACACTTTAAAGGTGACATTTATTACTAATAAACTATGTTGAAAGGGCTGATCTGTTCATTGGCAGAAGAGCCAGAGACTTTCTTTTATGTAAAAAATGCCCCATTGCAGTCCATGCAGGGTCAGGAAGCACTTCCATCAGCACTAGTGAGGGATGGGCAAGAGATTCACCCACACCTTCTTTCAAACTAGAACAATTTCTTTTCTCTTTAAAAATAAATGAGTCATGGAAATATAACTCCAGTATTATTCTGGGAGTGATCGTAGATCTCGGCACATCTCCTTGGAATATCACTGAGAATCAATTCCAGAGTCAGCTAATGGTATCAAAAACCCACAAAGCATCTGTCAGACAAACTCTTGATAGTGTCAGTGAGTCCCATGCTTAGGCAGGATGTTATTTCCTCTTCATCTCTTGAAACTTATGGGTTGGCTCTTCAGGATTGTCATCCTCTGCATTGCTTCTCATATAACTTCTGTTAAGTTACTGTGCACCCAATATTATAGCTGTTGCTGCTGAACACGTCAAAAACCACATCCATCTTATAACAGCCTACACTAGAGAGGAATATGAAAGCCTCTCTCTCAACAAAGCATCTCCTATCTGAAATATTTAACTCACACAGATCCGTTAGTCCCTACCTTCCTAAAAGCAGACTTGCTTTGGAGACCAACTCATTCTTCCTTGACTGGTGATGGCATTGAAGGTGTGTCTACCTGCTACCTGAAGTTGGGTCAGAAATGACTGCATACAAGTCAATTTGAGCTACATGCATCTCTTAGCTATTAAAAATGTCTTAGAAGAAAAAAATAATGCAGAGGAGGCAAAGGTAGAGTGCAGCACACCTTGTTTAGGTTTTGCTGTACAATTGTCACCTGCAAGGCACAAAAAAGTGGCAACTAGGAGCTGATTCAATTCCTTCAATATGAAAAAGGTAATTTTAGGAATTAACCATTGGGCAAGTTCATTGTTGAACATTTACCATTCTGACCTTGCCTCTGAAATTTATTCTATTAGTCCATAGGATGTACTTTATTACTCGGTCACAAACTGAGATTTCCGTTCCCATACTACAAAATATAAAAATAAAATTATTCTGTTAGTCTCACCAGACAGAATACATTGAATGATAGAAGTGTGGTTGCCGATTGGCAGAAAAATCAAACTTCTTGCACTTAAGATGCATTAACTATTCAGGAAAATGAAATGGTACTTAAGAACTTCTCTCAAGAATGTGCGATAAAAATCAATGTAGATCATGTATTGTCTAGATTATATGTAAACTGGGCATTTCCTAGAAGCTACAGTAACTTAGTATTCCACTACCCAGACAATTGTGCTACTGATATACTGTTATTGTCTCCTGTTCCATTGACTTTCTAAATACAGTCTGCTCTACAATATTGTTTTTCAGGAGATGACCCATTCTTGGCCTCCACCACTATCAGCTATTCACACACCAGGGAAGGCAGAACAAAGCAAGTTTTCCTTCCCAAACAAGGTAAGAGATGTAACAATGTAAAGGCATGCCTTCTGCACCTCAAAATACATCCTACATGAGGTCTGGCTAAGTATGTGAGGGCTCTGGGCTGAGGCTGATGTAGTGCTGATGACTTTTCCATGTGTGCGCTATTATCCCCTTGCCTTTTCCTTGCCTACAGCCTCTGCAGCAGTACACAGTCTTGTTTTCATATTTTACGGCAGCAACACCGACCCCGGTGTGTTGGTCACAGGTTCCTTACCACAGGGAAAAACACAGGTGTCCTTGGTGGGGTGTCCAGAAGTGGTGCCTTCTGTAGGCACCTGCTAAGGCTCCTGACCAGCACTTCGGGGCATATACAGCTGCTGCAAGTCAAGAAGCTCCTTCTCACATCCAGTAGCTCTTGCCTCATTTGCCCGTCAAGGACTGAGATGGGCTTTGCTAATACACTGGCCTGCACAGCTAGGGGCTGAGGAAAGGGTGAATTTCCCCTGCTACCAACCTGGTTTCAGGGGTATCTTTGCTACAGAGGCAGGCAGTTCAGTGCAGTGGTGCCTGGAGGGGCCACAGGAGTATTTTCCAGGGAAGTATTTGTCTGTCCAAATCCAATGGCGGTGGACTGCAATGCCCCTGGTCCCAAAGGACCAATGCTACTGGTCCTGCTAATGCTTCTTTGAAACCAGCTCCACTAATGTATATGTATCACGGGCAGCATACAATGGGGTACAGTGAAGCTTATTGGCAACAGCTTGGGGAAACCACATTATTTTTACTTGGTAAATCAGGATGGAATGAGGTCAGATATCCTATGGATGAGCCAATATAATTCTCATATTTTATTGTCATATACCATTTATATGCTACAAGCATCTTTCTTGAAATATTAAAACTTGAAAGATGGTATTGATGCCGTTTATAGCCTTTTTCCTGATAAAGGAAGTTCCTTTGGTAACTTTAAGTCCATTCTGCAAAATTTAGTGCATGGAATAATTGTAACCACAAAGCCAAGAAAACGTCAAGATTTGCCTACAGTAAAACAGCTTTTCCGTGGATGGTAGTGTCATGATTTTGAAGTACCAGGGGTGTAAACCAAAACATCTCTGGCATGTTATGAAAGAAAAAGAAGGAAATAACTCACTGTCTTTGCTCATTGAAGACAGACAGTTGATTGAAGATGGTAGGCGGGCTACAGGCTTCCTAAGTTAGAATAAGCCCAGTAGGAGATGGATCAGCAACTTACCAGCCGGTGAAACGTTCAAACGTGAATGACAAAAATGAAGTGGTGCTTGCAACCCTACAGTTTCTGCCACAATTATTACCATGAAATTCTTTTGTGTAGCACATGTGCATATGTGTATGGGCAAGTTATGCCCCTATCGGCAAGCGTGTGTGATGGTCATGAACTCACTTCCTCACAACTAATTGTATTGTGATAAATATAGGACTAGCAGAACCACAGACTGTAGGGCAAAGATATGTGAATGATGGCTGATACTGACTTTCTCATCTTCTCTCTGCCTGTTGATCCATCTCTCTGGGAAATACTCTGATAGCTTGAACTGCAAAGCTGTTTTGGAGGTCTACCATTCATTTTTAGAGACCTTTCTAGTTGGTTGCCTATTGTCCTAACAAAGTAGGATCCCCACTTTATTTAAGCTAAGGATGGATGAGATTTTATCTGATAGTATATGAACATACCTTTATACATATAATGACATGGACACTGTACTGTGTGCTGGGTGGCCTGCATAGCCAAAAATTAGAGTTCTTTGTGTGAGATGTGGATTAAGTACCTGGTGAATCTCCTCTTGGAAAAATCCTGCGTTACTGGCCATAAAAAATGGTAAATTTAGATACCAGCTCTATTTGTAAATATATTTTAAATAATTAAAATGTATTTATTTAGCCTTCTCTGAATCTATAAAGTTGGATACTCGAGAAAGCATCTGCTTTCCAGGCTCCCAAATGCAAATAATGGTTTCCTAATTTTTCAGTTGTGTTTTTGGAATATTCATAAGCTAACTATTGTTTTTCACAAAGTGTAGTGAAAAACCTTTGTTGGATCTCATAGGAGATAACTCCTTAACTCTTAGGAAGCTTTCCCACAGATAAGCTACACAACTGTACCAACTTGTAAGAACCTGAGAAATACACCAAACTATAGAGGATGACAAGTTGCTCAAAAAAATGGGTCTGTCAGTCAAGTAGTGGGCAAGACCAGCAAAGAGGCTAAAAGGCTAACTTTGGGGCATCAGCTCCTTCTCTCCATCTCTCCATCACCATGCAGTGTATGGTATTGCGAATTCATTTCCAGCCTTTATGGAAGTGCTGAAAGATCAGTTCAGGTCATTTGCAGTTTCTCTTCAAACCAACTCCACTCCAGAGGAGTAAATAGACTGCAATCCTTTAACAACAACAACAAAATTCCCAGGTTAAAAGGTATTCATGATCTTGGGAATGAGAAAAAGCTTGTAAGACTCTCACCTTGTTGCAAGGATGCAAATCATTCTTACTTTTCTGTCTATAAAAACTGAGTGTCAGCATCATTACTTCCTGTACATACCAAACTACTTTTCACCTGCAACTCAAGTAATTAGTGATTTGACAGCCTGAAACTTGAAATTTATTAATTAGGCTATTAAAGTTGCAGAGGCCACAGGAACTATAGCTAGACTGGTTTTGATATCAGTCTAGCAAAAAAAAAAAGCTTATTAATTAAGTTTTATATATCACACATACAACAGAAATACATTTTTGAAACTGTGCGTGTGGATACATCCACCTATACATCTCTATATGCTCTGTGGATGGGAGGGTATATGTGCATATGCTACATATGCATATAAAATCAGACCTCACTAACATTGGAGGTCTACGTTAATCCACAAGAATGGAAGTCATTGTCGGGTTTGAAGTGTTAGCTACTGCCCGGTAGGTTTTCCAGCACAACACTATCACGAGAGCACGTGAATTTTCTTTCTCTGTGGAATTAATTTGTACTCTTGAATTTACTAGGAAGGGCCAATGACTGTCTCTTTATTTCTTGTTTTTCAAAGCTTAAGGATAATTGAATCAGTGTGTGATGTGACAGGCTGCATGTGCTTTCCTTTCTCCTATCTCTGTCACACTTTGTTATGTACAAATGATTAGGCATTATTTGATTGTAATTTTATTAAAAACATCTTAATAAATAAACTTTAAATGAATAATTAAATTTGATGCTTGTACAAATGAGCTTTCATGTTCAGGCATTAATTCCCTATACTTGTGTGGGAAAAAATGTTGTTAATTCTACCGCCTCCTTTTCTAGAATACATCCTAGAAACAATAAGGTTTGAAAAGCCCTCCAAGATATATGGTCCAACCATCACCCTGCCACCAACGTCACCCAGTAAACCATGTCCCTGAGCACCACGTCCAACCTTCCCTTGAACACCCCCAGGGACGGTGACTCCACCACCTCTCTGGGAAACCCATCCCAGTGCCTGACTGCTCTTTCTGAGAGGAAATGTCTCCTCATTGCCAACCTGAATCTCCCCTGGCACAACTTGAGGCTACTCCCTCTAGTCAGTCTTACTTCAGTGCCAAGTAAAACTATGGAGTTTTTTTGTTTGTTTCCTTTTTTGTTGTTGTTGTTTTGTTTTGTTTTGTTTTGTTTTTATTATTTTTATTATTTTTATTTTATTCTGGGAGTTACTGAAAAACTCCCAGAACTGAATTTACTGAGGTCTGTTGATAGGTCTCAGTGTGCCTGCCAAGGGCCAACCTGGAGAATCTGCCTTTCCAAGACATTCCCTGAGTGATGGTGCCTCAGGACTGAGCACATCAGACACATAGAATACACTGCTCAACAGGCAGTGGGAATTGCTCTTTAAAGGTTTCTCTGCAGACAGACTGTATAGGGGGTCCGAGGCAGCTTAGGATGATGTGTGGAGGCTTGCAACAGAGACAGCTGTTACCAGCCAGATTCTTCAGAGACTCCATTCCCTCCAAGAGCTTCCCCCTATGCAGATGGCAACAAATTGCTCATGTTAACAAACATTCTGTCTATGACTACCTGTGCAGAACTTTGTGGGGGAACCTAGACATAGGGTACTGAGTGCACCACTGCAACACAACTGGGAACCATGTCCCAAAAAAAAGAGAGCCAAAGTCCAGCTGAAGTAGGAAACAACCTCTGAAGGTCACCTGGTCCATTTCCCCTTCACAAGCAAGGCCACGTGGAGCAGGCTGTCCAAGACCATGCCCATGCCAGGGTAATTCCAGACTTATCAGTCTAGCATCAGCTCCAGCTGAAACTATGGAGAAAGTTATTCTAGGAGTGACTGAAAAACACCTGAAAGACACTGTAGCCATCAGTCATAAACAGCACAAGCATATGAGGGTACTGTTTTGGAGACCACACTGTTTTAGGGAGCTTGTGTGTGACATGCTAAGCCTTCTCCTGTCCAAGAGCTGCAAGGACCTTCACCCAAACCTAGAGATGCGAGGCCAGGGGGATTGCTGTGATGCGGCTGTGACGCCGGTGACAGCACAAAGGACGGGTCACAGCGTCACAGTGCGGGAGCTGTCATCAGGGCCAGCAGCAGGCAGCGCCACCCCACTGTGGCCTGGGCCGTTGGTGAGTGCAGCTCGCGCCTCCTGCTGGCTATGGCTCGCCTGATCTTCCTCGCCCTGGCTGTGCTGGGCATTGCCCAGAAGCCGTGGTTGCTGGATGATCCCATGGATGCGGATACACAGAAGAGAATGAGAGAGCATGAAGAGCAGCTGCGTCAGGGCATGGCTCGGCTGCTGCAAGAGATGGAGCAGAGGAGACTGGAGCAGAGCCGGGGCGTCCTGGGAGCTCTAGCTCTTCAGTGCCTTGCAGCAGTGGCACCTCTGGGCCTTGCCTGACCTCCTTGTGCTGCTCTTTGGGCTCTGCCGCTGGCTCAAGAAAAGGAGCCGTGAGCGGGGCAGCCGCAGCAAGCAGGGCAGCTCTACAAGCAAGGAGGACAACGGTGATGCGGACCAAGACGGTGACTCGCACAGCACCTGGCATCTGGGCAGGGTTTGGGCTGATTGCAGCCAGTGGCCAGCACCATCCATGGCTGACAAGTGCAAGGTGGTGGAGGAGCTGGTGGACGAACTGCTTGGGGCCTGCCGAGGACTCTGCAGCAAGTGTCCCTTCAAGCCACAGCTGCAGCCGGCCATCGGCCTGGGCTGCCTCTCCGAAGGCTGCAGTGCCCACCAAGACTGACGTTGTCTACCGCCTGCTCGTGCCCCTGAGGCCTCCCCCTGGACACGCCTTCCACCCAGAACTCGGCGCCATGGGGAAGAGAGCAACGAGGAAGCCATGGCTGCGCGTGGACCTGCAGTGCACCTGCGCCAGGGAGCGGCTGCTGGGGGACATGCTGTGCTTCCTCCACCACTCCGAGGACGAGCTGAGCAGAAGGCAGGAACCCAGCCTCCTACGCAGCCTCTGCACGGGCTCCTACCTCAATGTGGAGGAAACCACGCGCTGGTTCCAGGACTTGGTGCAAGCAGCCTGGCAACTTCTGCCGCACTCAAGCCACTGCCGCCTGACGCTGCTGCCCTCCCGCCGCTCCTGTAGGTTCAAGCTGGCCAACACCTCCAAGAGCACCATCTCCATTGATATCACGCTTGGGGTGCAGATAGATGGCTCGGGCAGCTTCCTGAGTCTGCAGTAGGCCGCGCACAGCTTCGGCTGCAGCCCGGCGCAGCCACACAACACCACTTTCTCCAGCAGCGCAACACAGACACCTGTGCGCAGCCGGGCACTGACCAGCCAGACCCTTGGGCGGACTCCATTCCATCCAGGAGCTTCAGCAAGGCCACCTAGAGCAGGCTGCCCATGACTGTGTGCACAATGTTGTACTTACATCTTAGAAGACGTTCACATCTTCAAAACAATATGGTTGTAGAAGACATCTATGATCATCTTTGGTGTTTTTCTTCATTTTTACTGTCTTTAAAGCTTAGTCCAGGTTTTGATTTCTATTTAATTGTATGTGATGTTTTGATCAGCCATCATTTTGTTATTTTAGAATTAAACTATCCCCTTAAGGAAAACTGGTGTTTTGTCACAAATTTGGATCGATTAATATCAGAAGCTATGTTATGATAATATTGTTGTCTTTTCAGTGCCCATTTCTTTTACTTTTTCCTTTATTGTTCATTTTAACAATCTGGAGCCAAAAAATAAATAAATAAATAAATAAATAAATTTTTTAAAAGATCCGGAAATGAAACCTTCATCTTTTGTTTTTTAAGTTACATAATGGAATATTTTTTCCTACCTCAGTGAGAGTATTCTCTATTTCATGACCATATTTTTACTAGGCTTTTTATTAAGAACAATTTGTTGAGAATCAAGACACTTTAAAGAATCAGTTAAAAGGAGAATTGAAAATATTATAGCTCTTGCTTAGCTGAAGTGATATTTGAGACAAAGCAAAGTCAATGGCAGAGGTAAGATACCATTATAGACAGTTAAAAGGTAAGGGTGCATTCTTCCTGAAGTTGATGAAAAAGAGTAAGCAATTTCCTTGTTTATCAGTTTCAAACAATTTTACAAACACAAGGATATTTCCATCCAAATAACTCTATTTCCCAAAACAGAAAACAGTTTCTCCACCTATAGGTACATAAATTCAATACTCTGGAAACTGAACATGTTCTAAGAGCCTACTTTTATTGGTAGCCTGGCTGGCTACTAGAATAACATTTAAATTCAAGGGTATATATCATTATATCACCACTGCAAGACGATTCTGACTTCATAAGATTATATTCAGTAATGGGGGTGAGGGAGGAGTCTTTAATATTCCTTTATCAGAAGCCTTCATAAAATGATGAGGTAATATGTCAAAAGAAGACAATTTCAAATTATTGAAAAGTTATTTTCAGCATATGAAACACGTATAGACATTGTGAGTGTATGAGACATTCTACTGTAGATGATAGTAAAAACTCTTAATATTTGCCCCAGAATTTGATGTCTCCCATTTCAGATGTGTAGGGTGTCACTGAATTACAGATGTGTGCTATGCCATAAAAATTATACAGATTAAAGTCATGCAGTCCAGAAAGCCTTGACTCCAAAGCAGATGGTGCAGATGGAGATTTGACCAGCCAAGTCTTCAAGATCCCAATGCCCACCATTCGGACAATCTTCATTTGGAGTTGCCAAGAAACCCTTGGGCCCTCCAGACCCTGAGGCATATTTCTGCAAGACCCAACAGCAAAAACTTAGCTTGGCCAAGTCAGAGCATCCTTGAGCTCTCTGGGTACTTGCAGTTCCTTTCTTCAAATTTCTACCTTAGAGATTTCTATGGTTGGCATCTCTGTGGGATCTGGTGAGCAAGTGAGGAGATGGCACAGACAAAGGGAAATATTTTAGGATGTGTTTCTGTGTTGTTTTTTGTTTTGTTTTGTTTTGTTTTGTTTTCTTCTTAAATTTAAGACCAACCTAAGGCCTGAAGTCTGGCTTCCGAGCTGTAGCAAACCTACAGACTTCTCAGCCATTTCACCTCTTTAAAATGTAGCAGAAATATATATACATTCCAGCTTTCAGCAAGTATAATGAACAAACACATAAATAAGAACCTCCCACTTCCAGCTGTGTGTCTGGTCCATCACTCAGACTCTTTGTACCAGAGACCTAGTCCAGGGTCTGATTCCTCACCAAAATTAATGCTACGTGTGCCTGGCCTCTCAGTGTAGTTCTTACTATTGTAAGTGCAGTGTGCACTTGAGGTGGTAGTCCTCTGTGTATGCATGTTATCCAGGAGCAGAGCTGCACAGAAGACACCTTCCCTTCAATCAACCATAGCCCACCACACCTCGGGCTGTTTCTGGCATGATGGAGGGCCCTGAACTGAGTTAGTGGTTGTATTAAAAACCTTGTGGCCACAGCAGAGGTACTCAACATTTTTCAAAGAAATAACTGGAAAGAGGCCATTTTCATATAGCCTGTTCTGGGTTGATTTTATGGTAACCAAGATTCCAATGTGAGGTAATGAGAGGAGTAGCTAATGATCATACATGATAATATACAGTAATGTGCTCCTATCACCAACATGGGGCCAGTGACACAAGTTTTTAACATGTAAAGCTTAAGAGTTGCCTATCACTGGACAGAAGTATTTAAAATGTAGCAGATTTAAATAAACCTACTCAGAAGATTTAATGTAAGGCTGATTACCAGCAATGCATTCTCAAAAACTGTTCAAGGCACCTCACAGCTTCGCAAAACATCTGACATTTCTACCGCAGTAAAATTACAATATCATTAACATTGTGTTGGTCAACAGGGACCAGACTGAGAGACCCCAGATATAGTTAAAGGTCAGGTGTTTGCTTGATAGAATTTTTATGTTAACCTCATATTTCAGTATCTCCAAGAGTGTTCTTTTTTTTTTTTTTTTTTTTTGATGATAGTTATTTTCCTCTTCTCCTTGTATTCTTATTTTATTTTTTCCCAATTTAAAAATCTTTTACTATAGTATCTATTTATATTTCCCTCTTATTCATAGGCTTCTTTCACATTTTTATAAATGTACACTAATTCTGTGAGTAAAATATATGAACATTTGCATGTGAAGAAAAAACAATTTATTGTACCATATTCATAAATATCACAGTTGTGATACAAGGCTGACCTTGTAATGTCAGAGACCCAGTGCTAAAGTCTGTATTTCCATTCTCCGGTGCTGTCAATATCAACATGTGAGAAGGAAAGATTAGCTTTGTTACTAGCTCAAGAATCCAATGGTCCATGAAACAATATTGGTCTTCACTCTGTCTACTCATCTAAACTCATGGAAAATAATAGACAAGTTTTGGTTGATCAATAAATGAACAGTAAGCAGGAGACTGGTAATAACTATAAAAAGAATTGCACCTTTAAAAGGTTGCTGTGAAATAAGTTTACAAGCCTTTGCATTAAAGTATTTTCAAAGAAATATTGGATTTATTCTTGTAATTGAAAATGACTTTTAAACCGAATGAACAATTAACAATATTGTTTGTGTTGTTAAGGTAATGTTCAAGCAAGTATTGCAGCTAAAAAGTGCCATAAAAATAACACATTGTACCTTCTTTCTGTTATTATTGTAGGAGTCACAACAGGGATCTACAGGACACAGCAATACAAGTAAGTACTAACTTGTTTATGGCTGCATTGGGTGGAGGGAATGACAATGACTGTGAAAACCAAGGGACTGAGAAAGCAATGGTAGCAGACCGGGACAGCACAGAGCTTTGCCAAGAAGCACTCTGTTTTAGCCAAATGTGGGGAACTGAATTCGAGGGTGACCATCAAAATACCATTTCTTTTGGTGGACTGGGAAGAACAGAAAGGATTCATTTCATGATGGCTATTTCAGTATATAGGTGAGAAAGACTGAACCAGCAAAAGAATGGCTTTTCTAAAATGCTAGAAAAGAAAAGACCCAGTTGCTTGGGCAAGGGCACTGCCAGATACAGGCTGCCAAAAAATTGTCCTGAAAAACCTGTTATCATTTATCTGTCATAGGCAATGGTATATTTTGTGGCTATTGCACCATAATAAACCCCATAATCCTACTAATCCAATACCAAATAATGCCTCAAAGACCATGTGGCTGTGGGTCTTTTTTGGCTAGCAGTGTGGGAAGGGAGGTGTTGTGTGCTTGCATGGCTCCTGGTTGTCGCTTTTCAGTGGACTCCAATATACAAATCGTGGTGCAGATCAGCAGCACTTTAATTAGATTTAGTTATGGTAAAAAACTTAGCAGCTGTATTGAAAGGAAAGATTGAACTGTTCCATGAAACAAAGTATTAATCCTCTCCCCTGACACCTCTGACTGTTGTTAATGTTGTCTTGCATATTAAAAATACATGATCCTACTCTGCTCTCGACATAAAATCGTCTCAACCAAAAGAACCATTTTGTTAGCTTCCTGACCTGTCAGCCAGCACAGAGCCCTGTTTGCAAATTACAAGGCTGTGACTGAAGATGAAAAATGCCCTGAGCTGGTAGGTAGGGCTTTGAAAGTGGCTGGTCACCCACTGCGTGAGGGAGAAGACATCCAGCGAGACAAGCCTGGGAGACGTAGGCTATTAAAACAGTGCAGCTCTTTGCCAGGGAAAGGTCGGCAGGCGGAAGACAATGTTGTGAAGAAACATGCAGTGGTGTCACTTAATTGCCAGTGTCAGTTTGATATTGCTGTGAGGACCAGCACTAAGGAAATAATAAAACGCAAAATGGCTGAGGTCCTGTCAGAAAATAATGAATACAGTAATGAGAGAAGGAAGCACAAAAGGGCCATAATAGAGAGGGCTATGCAAACATGCAAAGAGTCATGCGCATGACAAACACACAAACTGAGCTGAGGACTTTGTGATGACGTCAGAGGCCACAGTGTTTGGATAGCTTTGGACATAGTTTTATTTAATGTATTTCCTTCTTGCAACACTTTAATAAAATAGGTTGTTCTGCAGATCTATTAAAACATGCTCTCCTGTGGATTAGAGAAGCAGTCCTGCCACCTTACACCTTGCCCCTTACTCCTGTGGTGTCCAACTTCACTTCACTTCCAGTTCCCCCATCAGCCCTCCCCACTATGGTACCTCCAGCTTCTTCTGATTTCCTTATTCATCCTGCTCAGCAAAATCAGTGTACATGTATGTTTGCTGCTGGGCTAGAGTGCACTTGATACTGCCTGGCTGGGTGATGGCAACCAAACCAAAGAGTGGCTGAACCCATGCAGCAACACTTTCTTCACTGGTATCAAAATTTAGGGTTGCTGGCAGACACTGAGACACATTCTCTAACATTGCAGAGGAATTTGACTACCTCTGAGATGTGTATCCATGAGGATTCTTTGTCAGGGTTTTAGAAAAAGACATGGAATAAGACAGAGGCAGAATAAAACATAGACCTTACCAGTCTTGTACAACAAACTCAAAGAAAAATCATGGAAAAAGTATTTTGATGTTAGGAAATGCTAGCAAATGACTCCATATGGAAAAGAAATGTAATAGTCTATGTACTGCATTATCCAAACACACATCTTCAGAGTCACAATTAGCTGGTATTCCCCATTGCACCATGTCTTCTGTGGAGTGGCTCCTGAGCCCGTCATTTGCAATGTTCTTACTTCAGCTGCTAGCATTGTCTTTCTCATAGATAACATTTGCATTTCTCTCATCCTTACCCACAAGGAAATCAAAGCATTTAAAAACCCTTAATGGCTGAAGTTGTACTGCTCTGTTACAATAAGTATTATTTATCCTTGTTATCCAGAGGGGTAAACTTAGCCTGGCTAAGTTGAATGATTCACCCAAATTCTTACTCAGAGGAGAACACTCCTTCTCTGGTCTTCCACTATTCATCAGGGAAATCCTACAAAAGTCCATTTAAAATAGATTCTGAAATGGGAGAAATCTAATCTTCTCATCCGGTTATATTTAAAACACTTAGGAAGGGAGTTGTGTGAGATGTAGCAGGAACTAGCAAAGAATTCCCAGGCCAGTGGCTGAGGATCTGAGGGATGATGTTTTCCACCACGGTCTTCTGGAGGCACGTGCATGCACACACACCTCAACACACAGGCGTGCACACACACATGTCCACGCCCATTTCAGAAGACATACACAGTGCATAGCACCTGAATTGAAGTGTGCTAACAGTAGCCCTGTGAAGTAGGTAATGTATCCTTTGTCAATTCCCATCTGACTAAGAAAAACAACAGACTACACAAATTTGCTCATTAAAAGAAACCAGAGCTAGACAGGTTTTGGCGGTCCAGCAAATGCCAGCCTCCCACAATGGTACCTGCATGCATTTGGCAGGTAACATGAAAAACAGAAAGAAAAATCTTGGCCTAGCCAGAAGTAAGCGTGGGGAAAAAAAAATAATAAAAAAAAATAAATAAAAAGTTGTTCTGACAGATAATTCCCTTTTATTTTTCCAATAGCTTAATAACAGCATATCTGTGACATTCAGCTATGCTTAGCCTATACACATTTTTCAAATTTCTGTGATTCAGTCAAGTGTGAACAAAGTTGGTAAGGACTGATAAAGCATTAATGACCAGATTTTCTACTCTGATAGGCTGGACTGATGCATTTCTACCATCTGCAAAAGCTTCATCCTCCCCCTCCACACAGAAGTATGTTAAGTGATGATTAGCATTAAAGCAGATGCAAATGCTTACAGTAGGGTAATTCATTAATATCCAGTTTGGCTAAATCACAGAGATTCCCTTCCCTCTCTCTCCTCACAGTACTTGTGCTGTTTCCCTTGTTGCTACATTAACATACATTGCTGAAAGTAGAACTGATGTGAACTCTGGCAAAGCACTCAGGAATCCATATTCCCCCTCACACTCAAACAAACCAGTGTTCATGGTAATAATTCATCACTTACAGAAAGTCTAAGTTACGAATAGAAAATCTTTGAATATGTGCCAACTGTTACTGTTGGTTTCTTGTTCCAAATTACCATAATGCAGATGAGCTCCAGGGCTCCAGGCATCCTAAGGCTGACAAACATGCACTGTAGCAACAGCTTTCTAGCCAGCAGGTTATCATCTGGATATGCTTTCTGAAGTCTCTGTTAAAAGTGAAAAGTGACCTACAGATTATGGACTAGATGTATTCCATCCTGTGTGGCTGCCCAGCTTGTGCTTAAATTTTATGTACCTTTAGCTTCCCTAGTGGTTCACAGAGGGACACTGGTATTTTTGAAGTCATCCAGAGCTTCCTTTTCACTAAAGATTGGGCACATAAGTTGGGTACACTCAAACCTTTCCACAGGGGAGGATGAGATCTACAAGCACCACAGCAAGGTGTTTGCACTACCCAAACCTCCTTTACTAGACACCCACATTCAGAAGCTCACTTTCTAGAGTAAGTCCTTCAACATGCTTCTTTACTGCAGTGGAAAGACATTGGTGGCAAAATCCTGCCTCTTCTGATGGCAAGAGCAAGTTTTCCAGAGGTGCCTCTAGCAACCATTCCTGACACCTCAACACTGTATAGAAACTGAGGGTGAGATCTTTGCCATCAGTGAGCAGATGATGCGTAGTGTTCATATGTATGGAATAGAGTAGGGGCTGACCCAGAACCCACTCAGCTCAAGTCAATGAGTAGAAGATCGGATAAGGGAACGCTGAAACAGTCTGACCAAAACAAACATTTTTCACAGTTTTTTCAGAAGGCACAGGTGGATTTTGGCTTAATGAAGTTTGTTAAAAGGTAGTGGAGGAAAACACATCCATCAGTAAGCTAGTCACACACAACGTCTGTGCCTCCTTGTCTGCTAGGCAACATAAACTCATATGTAGACAGCTATTTGTGCCCAGCAACACACAGGAGGATCAGCAGCTGCAGTCATGAGGTCCAGAATTCAAGTTCAAGGTGATTCAAGTAGAGCAGCATGCCCTGTTCATCCATTTTAGAGCTATAGAAAAATCTTGTGCTGAACTGTAACTCTCTCAGGTTTCTCAGAGGGATAAGTGCAGTAAAGAACAAACACCTTATTTTTGGAAAGAATGAAAGAGGGAGAAGGAATTGGCCTGACATACCATGAACAGTACCACCCCATCAGCTATCAGCCTGCTTCCCTGGTGTCTGTGCTATGTAACAAAGTTACGTTGGGCAGATGTGGTTTTGGACCAAAGAAGAGGTCATCACAAACCAATGTACTTTTCTAGGATGCTTGTGAGTCATAAGGAAATACGAAGAAGAGGAAACCCTTGACCCCCCTTAACTTAACTTGAAAGTTAGCTTTTTCTTACACAAAATAGCAAAGAGGATTTCTCCAGCCCCTAATTACAGCAGCTGAAGATTAGGTCGAAAGGTGTCAAAACACTTACTGTGTCAAAATGAGCATGAATCCAAACATCCATCTGCAGAATTGTGTCCTAATCTCTGCCTTAGTAGCTTTTGCTGATACTGTTCTCCTCTGTATGAAATGGTTCCTGGAACAGGGTGTGGGAGTCTGTGCATGTTGGATGGGATGCAATATCAATAGTAGAGCTGTAAGACCCTGGAGAAGTCCTTTGTATGCTTCCAAGGTCTGCTGTTCCTTGTAAAGGTTGAGTTACTTGAGTCTTTCTGCCTCCCCTGTAGAGTTTTCTTAACTGACATTGCCAGAGTACAAGTGCCAGTGACAAGAAAAGTCAAGTCAGGGTTGACTCCCAGCTTGCAGATACTCCAACAGTGCCCCAGCATCCCTGTGATTGCCTCAGCAGTATTCCATGCATGTGGCAAGAGCAGTCAGTGTTAGCAATGAGTAGAACCTTGACATATCGCATCTGAGCAGTTTCCATATTCACCCATTTCTGATGTCATTTTCTTTTTCTCTTTTAAAGGAAAAAGTGATGTAGAGCCAAAGAGTCCAGAGAAAAGTGCAACACATACATCGTAAGTCACTTTTGCTTTTATGATCAGAGAAAGCATCTATGTTTTTTATCAGATTGGTTGGGCAAAATAGGATTTGTCTGTTGTGTTGTTTCTTTTTGTTGTTGGTGGTGGTGATGATGTTTGTTTGTTTTTTTTTCTTTCATTAAGATAAAGCTCTTTCACTGATGCTGTTCTTAAAAAGGCTTTTTAGATAATGACTAAACATTAATTATTCCTAGAACTTTTGCATGCTAGTAAGTCAGAGATCTTCACAGGTGCAATGGCTCCCTATCATGCTGAATAGATATGAAATTATTTTTGTGGGTGTGTGAGGCTGGCCTTTACAACCTGACTTCAACATTACCTTAATGCTGCTGGAGTTTGTCACACTTGCTAAAAAACATCATGTCACATATGCCTTTGATGTACTGATGTAATTTTAAAAGACTGCAGTCTGCAGCTTCACCTCTGAATTACTTGAAATCCAATTACAGCTATCTCTGGTCTCTCACGATTTTGTTGATGTTTTTGAATTAACAAAAGAAGTCGAGAAATAGATAGGAACAGGCACTTGTAATATATCAGTGTTCACCTTCACTCTAGTGCAACAATAGAAGCTTTTACCATTTTTAACTCCAGTATACAAAGGACTGAATTGTTTTGCCAACATAAACCAGTCTACGAAACAGATGGGCTGAAAGTTAGAAAAATAAATAGCAACAGTCTCCCAAACTGAGCTAGATAAGTGAATTCCTTTAATATTTACCATGCAGGAGCAGTATGCATTTCTACAAAACCATTCACCTTTTTAATCCCATTTGAGTGAGCGAAGTTCTTGTAGCAGTCAGTCATGTGAATTTTAGAGTGCATCTTGCCTGTAATTTATGTTTCCTGATTCCTGTTATTTAAATTCAGAGCGTTACATCATGTAAATCTCACAAGGTGTCACCATTTGTTACACGGCCAAAAGTAGTCACAGAAGGAGGTACTATAACGGTGATTTATAGTGGGATGTTTTCATTTCTGCTGCAAATACACATTAAAAATCTTCTGGAAATGAATCTAGAAAAAGATTTGACATGCTGTAAGAAATGACTTGTCCTGTAGATTGTGTTGTGGAATGTAATTACAGTATGTGAGCATATTTAGCCAAACTTATTAAATGAATTAAGCATTAGCAGCCTTATGCCTTCTGATAGTATGATTGCTGGGAATGGTTAATAGAATGATTCCAATAATTATCATTTTTAAAAATAATATTGCAATAAAAACCAGAAGAAGAAGGGTTTTAATGCCATCTGGAGGTATTTTGGAGAAATGAACACATTTATTTTCGCTGATACTTAGCAATATGTAAAACATGAGCCATACTGCACAGTGGTTTTGCTAGTCAGATGGTATTTTATTCACGAGGAATGTTTTAACTTTCCTTTATTCTCCTTTATCAACGTAAAACTTTAAACCTTGGAACTTAAAAGAATAGGGGTTCAGAGATATGCCCTAATATATTTTGCTCTGAGACTAAATGTTGTGCCATGTAGTGTGCCATTTGGAATACAGCAAACTTCAAAACCTGCTTAGGTGCGAAAAGTTCTTTGCCTAATAAGACAAATAGTGTGTCCTTCTGAAATGATGCACAGTTTTCTATATACAGGGTATTTATAATGCTTATCTTTACGCTGTTGCTATATGCTAAGGCTTCCCCACAGCAGATACTTGTTCCTAGAGCAAATTTTAGAAGCAGAAAATACTTTTACCCCTGACAAATGGCTGTATTCAAGAAGCAGGGGCCCCTCTAGTTAGAGAAATTGTTTGTGTGGAAAAGGAAACAGGAGAGAAAGTGGGACATGAATGGGAGGAAACCAGCAAGTATTGCACCAAAAATAAAAATAAAAAATGAGAGGCCTGGAGCTAAGAAAAAGGGAAAAGATTGCAAAGACTGAATTTTCAGAAACAGATATAAAATTGAGAGCAGTGGCAGAGAAAACCAGAGGTCAAACTGGAAAAGAAAAAGCAGGGAGAGCAAAAGCTGTTAGTAAACTAAGACGTGTCTGTTATTGAATAGCACTGACTTCCTGAGTGCTACAGTGATGCAGATTAACACATTTCAATGTGTAGGTAAACACTGACATCCCCGTTCTTGTTCTGCTACATTTTGTTGGCCTTCCCCAGGCTGCTTCTCATTTACACTTTCTTCTAGGACAGGCTTTTACCTCTGGCTCTCAGACAGCTGTGAATGCAGACTTGTCCTTCCTTTTGGGGATGTGACAGATCACACCTGAGCGCAAGATGTGCATGGAGAGGACACCCCAGCAGGACCCTCTGTCCTTCTGGTGAAAGGCCCATGCCCTCTTGTGAGGTGTTGCTCCCCTGAGGGTCACAGGAGTCCATCCGTCTGCTCCTGGTAGGGATGTTGAGAAGGAGAGACACTGATGTAGGAGAGGTGGCACCTTCAGGCCCGGCTGGCAGAAACTGCGGGGAGCCAGAAAGGATGCCCTGTGGATTCATTTTGTTGTGAATCATTGTTTCCGCATGGAAATGAAACAAACAGCAGCAGAAAAACCCACAAAGCGAGGCGTGTTGGCCTAGATAAAAATAACAGAAAAGATGGGGAGGAGCGAATTAATGTTTCTTTCTTGCAAATGTCTTTTTTATTTTCCTCAGGCATGTTACAAGCCACATACTCAAGCCAAGCTTATGTGACTCAGTGGCAGTTAATTCATCCTTGGTGTAGATTTACTACCACCATCCAAAGGTTATTTATGCAGCTCCAAAAGACAGGTTGATTGCCCTCCTGAATCAGGCAGTGAGGCGCTCATGAACCAAGCATTTACATCAAGTCTCACCTGAAAAGATTCCTCCTGCCTTGTCCACTGGGCTCCATCCAGGGCCTCAAAATCAGGTACTGGGGCTGTGCTCTGGAGCCAAAGGGATGAAGGTGCTGCTCGTAACCCCTGCGAGGTGGGAAATCTAGAGTGCAGGATTTGTGCTGTGCTGTTCAGAGGGTTTGGGTATGGGAAATGTATTGTTTTGAATAACATCGTGTGTGTTTTTTTTTTCCTGTATGCATTAACTCTGTGGATGGACTCTGGTAGGACGTAGCTCTCCCCTGATAATAACATTAAACATTAAGAAACAGGCATACTTTAGATGATTCACATTAATTGATGCAACATCCTAATTAGGCAGATAAATAAGGGCAGTCATTACAATGCTGGAGATAACTGAGATGAATGTCAGAGAATGAGAATTATGCAAAACCAAGGAGGAAGATCAGAATCTGAGCAGATTTGTGTCCTTTTGCACGCTGTTCCTATGGTCTTCACCATGTCTGTATGCACAAAAATCACCTGAACTGGTGCTAAAGGATGGCAATAAACGGTGCAAACAATACAAAGGTGTTAAGCTGTCTTGAGTCTTCTCCAGTTGATTCATGTTCCTTGTAATTGAATGCTTTTAAAGCCATAAGAATTCTGGATTTGAAGGGCTTTTTGTTGTGGTACTCAATATGTACAGCTCTCTATGGGTCAGCTTCACTGCACATTTCTAAACTTTTAGGACTGCTCAGAAATATTCAGCAATGTTTCATTCTTTCAGTTTTGTGACGGAAGGTCAGTTTTCAATGGTTAGAAAACTTTCACAGTTTTGTTAAAAACATCTAATTTTTATTAAAATCCCTTTCTCCCCAGCTTTACCAGTTGTAGGCTGAAGGACAGGTTTAAGGAGGGTGAGAGAAATGGAGAAAGAGTGCTCTTTTGGTCTTTTATATATTTTTAGATATGGGGTTTTAGTCTTTGGAAAAAAAAAATATTCCAACCAGTGCATGTGTTTCAGAGGGTCCAGTAGCTTCATGGTAACTTCTTATCTCACCAGGGGTCTGAGATCACCCATCCTTCCACATGGAAAATATGACAACAATTCAAAAATGGCACAAACACACAGAACACCCCAAAAGACCCTCGATCTTGGGATGACTTTCGATGTACTGTCTGTTGCGATGTTCTTCAGTACCTTTGTGTTTGTAAATGATTTCCAGTTCAGACTACCCAAGGTTAATCATGCCTGACTGTGATTCACTGCTATGCATTTACCTCGACATTTCCAGCGCACTTACTTAATGATATCAGCACTAGCGATGAGATACCTCAGTGCTGTCTCTTTATTATCCCTCCCACAACTGTTTTCATGCTGAGCTGCTCCAGATTTTTCCCTCCCTTTTTACAAGAGAATTAACCAAGATTGGGGGAGGCTTCTATAATTTATGGCAGTTATGCAAGTTTTGTCCTTTACTAATACTCTCGGAGAGTCACAGATCTCAGTATGTGTGTTCACTTGTTTGCTTTTGCCAGGCAGAAATAGATGTTGGCTCCATTCCTTCTGTGAGACGGTCTCAGACATCACTTGGAGAACAGTTTGCTCAGGGGGATCTTCATTAACAATACTAAATTCAGCAGTTTCCAAGCTGCCCATTTGCAGAGATTAGTGCTTCGGTCTCTTGCCCATCCAGCTGCTAACATCATTCTCATCACCCTGGAGGTAGAAATAGGAAACAGGTAGTCGGACCAATGTTACTCTTTTTCTTCCTCTTTGCAACCTATGTCTATATTGGCACAAGCACCGATATATTTTTATTTCTTGCCTTTGCTTCCTCCCTTGTACCTTACTCCTTGTATCTCCAGTGACCCACAGATAGCATTTATTAGCCAAAAACTGGGTTTCCCATCTTGCAGATGGGAAAATAAAGGCAGAGGGATTACAAGGTCTCTCCAGAGAGCAGGGGGAATCAGTCTCAAATTCAGGAGACCAGCCTGAGCAAGTGCTGCCAGCGCACCACCGTGCTCTGAGCCCCAAGGAGCTTTGCCTTCCACATCTGGCTGGCGTCTGATCTTGAGCCAGGACCACAAGTCTTTCAGGCAACCACTGCGACCTGACTGAGCACCAGAGTTGGAAGAGGAGCCCTAATCCCACCTCACTTTCAGCAAAAGGCCTGGTGCAAGTTATTTAAAGTTAGCCTTGGCTTCCCCCCATCTAAAATAATAATTAGACTGCCATGGAGACTAGCTCATTAATATTTGTACGAAGTGTTGAAAAATGCAATGTTCTGTAAAAATGGCTAAGGATTACTCATCCAGAACAGTAAAGGAAATGAGAGGTAGTTTAAGTTTTTTAAGACAGACTCGAGTAATAAGTGGTGAATGTCCTGAGCAGTGCCAGCAGCAGGCAGAGGCAGATGGCTGGGTGCAGGGAGGGTTGCACTGCTGCCTCTCCTGGTTGCCAGCAGACATGGGAAGCTCAGGCAGCCCCTGCCCCATCACCACTGGCCCATCCTGCCCCACAATTTCAGTCGTAGCTTCTTGGACAGTCGCCACCCAACTTAAATTAGGATTTGGCTTTTCTCTCACTGCACCTGAGGGAGGGATGGCAAACAAGGAAAGGGCAAAGGATGCAAGCTGGAGAGCAAAAAGCCTTGCAGTGGTACATCTTAGATATCCTTCTGCTTGCTTGCCACAAAGACTGTGATGTCTCAGGAGAACCAGAAGATAGGTGAAGGGTCTGAAAGACAATGGAAATGGTGAAATTCATGCAACTGTGGAAGTCAACTCTAAGGAAAGGTGCCCACATTTTTCTGGTGTATAATCCACTTTTAGCTTTCAGATTAGGATACCAAGGCAACTTCTCAAACAGCCTTCCACAGCTCAAATTTGGGGCATTTTCAAGAGCAAGAACTTCTGCAGTGGACATACATCAGACAGTGGTTTGGTGATTTGGTCCTCTTTCAGCAATTCCATAGGCTCTATTGCAGGCCATCATGAGGGTATCAAACTGGTGAGTCAGTTCAGCATCATCCAGCCAAAAACACGACTTCCAGGAGGTGGTGGACAATTTATAAAAACCAACCTTTTTTTTTTCCTTATTTTTATTGTTTCTGAAAACATCAGTTACACATTGTATCAATAATGGCTTTTAATGTATGCCTGTGATGTATCTGAGAGAAGTTTTGAAGTCCATACTAAAAAAAAAAAAAAAAAAAAAAAAAAAAAAAGCAAACAAAAACAAAACAAAACAAAAAAAAACACATACTGAGATGAATGAACACAGTGTTCTTCAGAGCGATGGAGGTCTTCAAAACCATAGAAGCAAACGTCTGTTGTTTATCCATGAACCAAGTAGCTGGCAGGAGAAGAAGGCTGGCTTCATTGCACTATCCCACCTGTTTACTTGAGCCTGGGCTTGCAGAGCTAACCCCTAACACTGCCAGACTGTCATTGCCCAGCCAGTCCAGCAAGAGCAGCTAAAATCTTAAAACGCACTCCTCAGCTCTCAAATTCCCATGAAAAAGTTCTTTTTTTCTGCCATTTCCCCTGAAGCATTACCCTTAGTACATGTACAGAGTGCTTCTCTGTGTATTAAACATACAGACCATTAAAAAAATACAACTCCACAGTAACTTCCTGCTCCAAAAGACAGACCAATTTCACCTGTGGGATGCATCAAAGCCCTGGCTGTATTGTCACAGTAGTGATGTAAATGTCGCCTGCCAGTTCCTAACCTTCCCTTAGCACAGATTTTTGGATTTGTGGTATACAGTGCTGCTGACAGTCCACAAAAAACTGTTGTAAGTTGATACCAAGAAATCTATTTTCTTCAAATCCTATAAAGACATTTTCTTGGAAGATATTTGCCCACACATGTCTCAACTTAATCTGTCTTTGAGGTTTAGCTATGTTAATGAGGAAGAATGGATCGGTGTTTTGGGTGATATTTTTTTTGCCACATAAAAATTATAGATGCATAGCAGTCAAGGGTGATACAAGTAAAAAATATTTAAAAACATATAAAATTGTATTTAAAAAAAAAAAAAAAAAAGAAAAATGATAGCCAGGAAAACAGATGAGATGGTTTTTATTTGCTGGATTTAGAAAGAAAACACATGGAAGCCCAAGCTGACCATAATTGCAGCTGTGGTTATCCTGGGATAAAGTTTAGCTTCCGTAGTGTTTCAGTCAGACAAGAAAAGCCTTATCTGAGATGTCAACAGGAAGGGGGATAGATGAAGTCTAAAGAATAGCACCTCTGAGATCTGGGGAAGTTTTGCGATTGACTTGCATGGGAAGAGATAGGGCTTTCACTGCCCTATTTTTAAATGTCAGTCCTTTCTTTTACCAGATGCAGCCAACAGCTGGAGATAACTGCCCTTATTGCTGCAGGACTCAGCACAGGGTTTTCTTTGTAAAGTCTCCCCTTGTTTAGCACCTTTCTCTTCACTCTCTACCTGTACAGTGCCCACCAGGGAGAAAAACCCTGAGCTGGTGGCTGCTGCCCTGTTTGTTGCCACCTTCCGCTCAAAGCCAAAGGGGAAGGTGCAAGAAGCCCTCACTTCAAAGCAGACGTGCTCAGCAGCTTTTGCCCAGTTGGAAAACTTACTACTACCTTGGCCATTATTTCTAATTTTTTCAAGTGACAAATGTTTCTCTAGCGCTTGTGTTCATTTACAACATTTAGAATAAAACTGACCAATTTAGCTAGCTAAAATACAGTTATGGTTGAGGAAATGTTTTCCCGTGTTGCACCAAAAGCATATTATTTTTCTCTTAGGCACTGTTTTCCTTGGACTTTGTCATTTGTAAGGGACTAATTGGGAAATTTGAATGCAGCACGGTGGTTAAAGAGGGGTTGCCAGGAAAATCAGATGCGAATACCTGGGAAGAACTCGATTTCATCGGACGTGCCATCAGAAACCATCTACCCCTCTGCGTATTTCCTTTCTGAAGGAAACGATGAAACTGAAGCTAGGAGTCTGGCACGCTGGAGTTGCATTGTGCATGCTGTTGGTTTTGCCGGGTTAAAGTTCCCAGATGCTGTTTTGGAAATCCTGCACCCAGGCGAGAGCTGTGGCAAGGGAATCTGCCCTGGGTGCTGCTGGGTTGAGGGCAGGGAGCAACGAAGCACCATGCAACATGTCCAACAGGAGAGAAACAAGATCAGGAGCATTCGATATATCCAGGCCTACAAAACCTGTTTTTGTGTTGTTGGGTTTTTTTTGCCCTTTTCTGCCAGTCAATGGGCAGGGGGTGATCTGGTCCCTGGGCTGAGCCCATCGCTGGAGGAAGGCGAGGTGTATGCAGGGTGGGGAAAGGAGGAGGAGGAGGGACAGGGAAGGAGAAAGAGAGATACAGGTCCTGGCCACCTGCCAAGGAAAATAACCAGCATTTTGCAAAAGAGAAATCCTAAGACTGAGGTCATAGTATGGAAAAAGTCTGTTTCACAGACTCTTTAGCCTGAACACAGGCCAAGATTTTTTTTTCTTTTTTTTTTTTTTAATATATTTTTTTAAATGCAGGCATCCTATTAACATTTGAACACTAAAGCTCGTCCAGGAATGGAAAGATTTTGGAATTTGAAGTACCCTAGTTTTCTACTTTGTTGTTATGCTGATATATATAATTTTTTAATTATGAGAAAGCAAGGCATTGAACAAGAAGTTCTCTCATTTTGCTTTTGAATTATTTTACCACTATGAAGATCAAATTAAGGGGATCTAAAGAAATGCCTTTTTTTCCCACAGAGTGACCGACTCAAAAAAAAAAAAAAGGCTTTTCAAGCTTGGTGGACAATTTTTTATTTGCCATGCAAAACAGAGAAAGATACTGAAACGGTCATGAATTTTCCTGTGTGGAAAAGTTCTACAGTTCAGCCATGAATAGCTACATTTTTTTAAGCCTTTGTAGTAGCAAGCTGACAGTTTCATGACAAATTACTTTTTATACCTAACTAAACTAATTATTGAAGCTCTTCTGCCTTAATCTCTGGACTTGGATTTAATGTCAGAGCGTGGATATTTTTTAACTGTGGGAAAAAAATAACTCCTTGGATTTGTTAGGATGTTATTGCAAGCAAGTTTTCTGGTCTTTGATTTGCTAAGCTACAACTGGAGTCTACCTTCCTCAGGGTAAGAATATTTCCACATTATCATTTCACCTGTGGTATTTTAAGAGTGAGAATATTATATCTTCGTGTGTATCTCAGCTTTATGCATCCTATTCTTTGTTTAGCATGCAGACAAGCTACATCTCCCCAAAGAGATGTGGAATATATTTATTGGCAATTTAGAATTGATGATAGATTTGACAAGCAAGCAGGGTGACGCACTGAAGCTATCAAAGCTGGAGATGAATCAGGACAAAGGTTCAGATGAGATGCATTGTTCCAGAGATTCAAAAGGATTTTACTTACAGATCATTCCAAAATCAAGGCAGCTGTACCACTGACTTACAAAGAGAAAAGCTCAGCTTTTACTGAGAAAAAAAAAAAAACATGGCTTGATTGGCCCACAGACCTTTTATGGCAAAATTACAGCTGACATTTCTGCATGATGTTTTTTATTAGTTTTGTAAGCTATTTTGTCGGGATTCATTTGTGCTGATTCTCTCTTTCATGTTATAAACTGTAAGCAGTTGTAGGTAGAGAGAAGGAATCTCTTGATGTATTTCTTTGTAGATACACTCCAAGAATTGCAATAGATCAGGTATGCTAAATTAAAACTGATCTGCTACCTGATGAACATGTGAACTTACCGTTTATTTCTTTGTGTTATAATTTAGTGTAAGTATAGGGGGGAATTCCATAAACTCATCACACGCTTTCCTACTGTCAAAGCAAAGACAAATCAGCACAAATAATCTCTTCAGGGTATTTAATAGCATGGTATGCACACAGTATGAGCAAATTGTCTGTTTGTATCTTGTTCAGTAGCCAATTTTTGTGCCATTTGAAATGGATAGTTATGAGGGGCAGGCAGGAGTTGGGGATGGAAGTTTCTGTCCTGAAGTCCCCTAGGAGCTGTGGCGGGCGAAGCTGACATGCGACCTGCCTTGATGTAGCTCAGGCAGAGGCCCAGAACACCCCAGAATGTAACCTCAAAAATAATTTGTCATCACTCTGGTTTGTACTTTTTTAGCTGTTGGGGTTAAGTCAAAAATTCATGTGGCTACTCATGTGAAATCCACATGCTTTCCCCATCAGTATAACTTATACAGTAAGTGTAATATGAGACACAAACTGTTTAATATTTGCAGTCACTGTCAGCAACAGCAGTTTCTGTAGACTTCCATGGAGGAAAGGATGAAACCTTTTGCCAGAAACTGTTAAAAAAAGCCTCTGTCAGAAAGTAAGGTTTTGATCTTGCAAATAATTACAGACAAGCATGATGTTTTCCAGCAGGACTTGCTTCAGCATTATTGTTTGAAAGACCAAAAGTTCCTGTGGGTAACTGGCCTCATGTTTAAGCTTTACTGCCCATCTCCAGTTCAGTTAAAAAACAATTCCCTGTCAGCTGCACACTTTACTGTGAGCACTGTTGGTAAAGCAGGATGAGTTTTGTCTGTCGAAAAAAGTGGCCTGCTACAGAATGACTGCACGTGGAGACCAAGGGGACAAAATAAGGAACTTGTGTTTACCAGGGCCTGCTTCTTCTCCCCATCCCTCGCAGCCGCCACTGCCATGCCAGCCTTCACGTCTCGCGGTGCAGTAAGCCCAGCACAGCTCCGGTAAGCACTGGGGCTGGGAGACGGCCATATGGTCCACCTCTGAAGAGCTTTTTCCAGCTTCCTATTGAGAAAGAGAGAAGGAAACCTCTCCCTAAGGCTGTCCCCTAGGTTTCATGGCTGGTAGCACTCCCCAGCTAACATGCAAGGAGCCCTGCAGCACCCGCAGCAGCCTCGTGTGACTGCTGCTGAGTAGCCAGGAGTGGGGAAACGCCTCCAGCTCTGAAGCATGGGAGACAGTGGCATAAAGAGAGGAGGGGGAAGGCTGGAGAAATGGTCACAAAAGACTTGTCAGCTAAATAGGATTTTAGAAGTTTCATTATTACGTCTAACGCATATCACTAAACAAATACAAAGGTATTTATAATGCATAAACAGTGAGACATGGTTGCAAAGCTGGATGATGGTAGTTAGATTGGTAGAGGGATCTAAAATATTGATATTTTTCCCAACTTGCATATATTTCACTATGACCACAGTAGGTAGATGACTTAAACATCATCCACAGGCATTATGGAAAGATTATAAAAGCCAACAGCCGTCCTTTCAAAATTATTTTGATTTATTTCTATCTAGCAGAAGTAGCCAAGTACATCTTTAGCATGATCCCATTTGGCTCAGTGACATTGCACAGCTATGAATTCGCTATGAGAAGATCAACTCTTTCTCTACCCTAAAGAACATAAAAGCCTCAGTGCCTAGCTGGAGAGCAAATGCCTCTTGCTCAAGCCGCTTATGTTTTTCTACTTGAGAAAAATTAAAATCTCATCTTATTTCTTTGCATGCACTTGTCATCCACTCAGAGTTTTATCCAAATAAATCGCTGGTTCTTTTCAAAGAACATCTTCAGTATAAGTTGCATTAGCTTTAAAGACTCACCAAGAACAGAGCGGTCCAGGCTGACACTCTTGGTTTCCAGCAGAGAAGCAACTGCATGAATCTTATCCCACAATCCTGCAGCTCAGTTAATTAAGTATTTGATGTCCTGAAAAACTGCTGCCTTCCAAAGCTGAGGAGAGGGAGCTGCCAGGCCCTTTTCCCTTCTCTGGCCACCAGACACAGTGATGTCCGGAGATTTTTCCACCCATCACACCATCTTACACAGCTCTTCCCCTCTCCCCACCCCACAGAGCTGATGAAATTAAATAGCATCAAAAATTAACCCCGCTGTTATTGGAATGCAGCTGGGTAACACGTGGCCTCATTTGCCACTGGGGGAGAATACGTGTTTGCTGCTTCAGTCCTGGGGGCTCTGTGTATGGGACAGAGGAGAAACTGGTAGCACAAGCCCCAGGGAACACCTCCCCTGCAGGACCACCACCCCTTTGGGTGCCCTCAGACACCTTGGGCCCCAGTACAGGATGACTTCTGATATCTCTTTGCCTCATTATCTGCTATCCTTCCATCCTGGCCGTGATCCCTTCTGCATTTCTTTTTCTCTCTCCTCTTTCTTGTTGCATCTTTTCTGCTGCTCTCTTACTTCTGTTTTTGTCAGGTTCGTCACCTGCAGCCTCATTTCTCCTTGCTTTTCACTTCTGCTGGCCCTCCCCTCCTCATCCTTCCCATCTCCACTTTTGCCCCAGAAAATATGTCTCCCATGTCTCCCCAGAAAAATGGAGATACGTGTAGCAAGGGATACACAAACATGCCCCCAGCAGCTCGGGTTCCTGGATTAATACATATGTCTCATTGCCTGCTCCTCTCCACCTTTTTCTCTTGATTTCTTCACCGTGTTATCTATGCTCAGTGGTAAGCCACTGGGATGAAGACTAGCTTTTAACTCCTTTGTCGGGTGCCCTGGTATGCCCAGATCTTCCTCTGGGTCACATCCTTTTCTGTTAATTCTCTTTTAAGAATCACATAGGAAAAAATGAAACACAGAGAGATGAATATGGAACAAAATTTTAAAGTTAGCTAACAAATGCTTTCCTTTTATAATTTTCAGCATGATTGGCAGGTAGGTTTATTTAATCAAATTGCCTTTTCTGACTGTGTATTATTTAATGAGGGAGCTCTCTTTTTTTTTTTTTTTTTTTTTTTGATTGCATAGGAAATGTAGAAGCATTTGAGGAACTCTGATGTGCTATTTACTCATCCATTATGTTGGGAATCAGTTTAATTTCAATGTCAGTAGAGTAATTAATAATCATAACAGTTATCTGTCACAGAGAGATCTATTTGGGGATTTTCTCAGCAAACCGGGATATATTCTCCATTCTTTCACCAGAGAAGAAAGTTTTTAAAAATAAGCCACATTCGAATGTGTTTTTATTTTGATTATCCCTTCCAGGCTGATAGCAGAGATAAAGTATTTTCAGGCTTTAATTCAGTGTTGAGTCATTGACATGAAATCCTTTACTAGCTTGTTATCCATACTGCTTTTTTCCCCCCATTAAATTCACTCAGTTTTTCAAGCATCAGGAAGGATGCAAGCATCAGGAAGGATGGCTCCCCCAACAAAGTGCATGTTCCTTCCCTGTAACAAGCAAACAGGAAAAAAAGACACAGTCGCAGAGATAATGCAAAGTCCCCTTTTGGCAGTCGTGCTAATTTGGGCTGGCCTCGTTCTATTTTCAGTGTGGCACTTCGCTGTCAGAGGAACAAAGTGGCTTTACGGGTAAGAGCAGTGGGTGCTGGAGCGAATGGTGGTGAAGGGGCAGGGGGCCCATGCTTGGTTTGGGATGCCTTGGTCTCCGCAGTTATGTGCAGCCCCGCTTAAGTAAATAACTGATAAATGAATAAAACCTTTCAGCTGATGCATTTGATGAGTAGTAAGACTTTTTATACGGCTCTAAAGAAAGGGCAGTAACTGTTAAATGAATTGCATTTTAAATAAAACACATAAGAGAAATTTTTAAATCCTTCATTGTTCCTTAAAATGTTTTAGTGCCTCATTAATTCTTGATTAGCCCCGTTGTTAAGAGGCCATGATTATGTGGTAATAAGGTATAGGAAATTACCTCAAGGACTATAGTCATGTCACACTGTACATGCTATAGTTTGCACCCCATCAGGTGCTGAGACCAGATGCCTGCCATTTAAATGAGGTGGTGGGGCTCATGGTGGTGGTCCTGTGCTGTGTGGTGGTTCCTGAGGTGTGGGTCTTACAGCATGGTGGCCTTTTGGAGCAGAAAAGTGGAGAAGACCTGGCAAAGATCCTCCTCTCAGCAGCCTCCTGCACTTCAAGGGCTCCCCGGTCTTGCCTTTGGGAGAGCACAGAAACCTCTATGAAACAGTGGAATAAAATTAGTTTGCAATTACATTCATTTCAATAATTTCAGATATGCCTGAAGCTCCCACAGATGAAAGTCCACTCTGCTGTATGATTTGTTAGGCAGAAAACGTTGTAGGACATTTGGTGCTGGGCCAGAAGAATATCCCCAAACCAACAGCTTCGTCAGGTCATTAGTATTGCTTTTTGAAGCCCCCTCTCTTAAAGCCTGCAAAAACTATTGGCAATGCTAATCATTACCTTTTCACAGACAGGAAAATGAGCCCTAGGGGCTATTTTTATTGTGATTTGCTGCAACATTAATTAGCGTTCTGAATAAGAGACATACTTCTATGTTCCACGCTACATATCTTTATTTTTCACCAAGTATAATGCATTTTTCCCCCTAAATCTCTTTGAGGCCACTGATCTTAATGCTCATGGTACATAGCTCCCACTGATTACCTATACAGGAGTAATCAGTGGGAGCTTCATGCTTCATACTTCATCTTTGAAAATTTTATGAAAATAATTAGTAGCAAGTTGTCATAACTTTTACAAGGGTGGGGTAAAAAACAGCAAAAATGAGTGTTTAAAAGGCTTTTCTGAGTGCAGTTTCAGATCTTGATGGAGAAGCATCTGTAGTCCAAACCAAAGACACTTGGGAGTTAACTGAAATCCCATAGTGCAGAACATCAAGAGTTAACAGTCCCAGCGAGAAAAAAGTTTATTTAGTCCTATTCTAAACAAGCGATATAACAAACCCCTGTTAGGAATGAATGATCTCTCACATGTTGCTTAAAAGAATTGAATTTTGATTTAAAACACCAAAATAGCTCCAATGTTATGGGTTTTCTGGAGGAAATTCAAATTGTCCAGTCCAATTTTATTTTTTATTTGTAACATTTTACATATGGATAAATGCGTTCTTTACTTAAAAATCCACTTACCCTGTTTCACGCAGGACCATATACTTTCCGGAGTGTTACAGACTCTGACATGTTGGCATATTTTGCTCCAGGAGCTCTGCTGTGTTCTGATTGTATAAATATTGTTCTATATAAAAGGATGCAATTTTAGCACCACTTCACATTTCCACCTTGTCCTCTTTCCCATTGAATTAGAATAATCATGCATTTGTTCACTTTTGACCTCATAGCATGTTGGGAAATTTACCTAGGTAGAGGTATCTCATTACAAAATAGTGTTAGAGTACAGACAAATAATAAATTGATACCTGCCTTGATATGATAGGTCTTATATCTTACTAGTTAATGAACCCAGTAATAAGGAGAATAAATCCTTATGCTTCAGTGTTCAACTCTAAGGAAGCACTGAAGAGAGTATCAATAAGAAAATCCTGACAAACCTTTCATTCAGTCCTCATTGTTCCATGATGCTGCTTTAAATTACATTTAAACTTCAAGAGCATAGGCCATTTAGAAAAATATTTAGCAAGGGCTGTTTGTGGCATCTTTTGAAGAGTAAAAACATTTTTGCTGTTAGTGTGAGGATAATAGTGCACTGAAAAATACAGAATGACTTCTTATGACTACTAAAGACTCTGTTAGAGATATTCTAAAGGCTTATAAAACTTCTGAAAAGTTATTGATGTATTTCAAAGTTATTTGTTAGTCTCCGATATTTTTGCCTGTTTTATTCAGTATTTTCATTAGCTATCTCTGCTGTCTTCAGTGCACTAAAAATATTTCAGTACCCAATAAACCACATGTAGCCAAAGCCCTTTCACTTGTCACTAAAAAATCCTTTGATTAGAAGGTAATATAATGGGCTAAATTAATTAAATGAAACTCCACTGGTTTTACTAGAGTGATGCTGATGATGAAACTAACCCAACATAATCAATTTTTTAGATTCATTTTTGATCACTAACATTATTAGTACTAAATTGAACTATTTAAAAGTGGCACCACTCATACATATAACTTTTAAAATATATATTGCATGATATAGATATAATATTTTTATATAAATTATTTGCAGATATACTAAGTTAACACATTGCTATTTGTAGAATTTATGTTTCTTTAGATATCAAAAAGATAATTATCCACAGCTCTGTGACTATTAAGTATTGCATGCTTGCTGTGGGAGTACATAACCTACCACACCCAAAAGTACGTCTAAAATAATAATGATTGTTTTGATTAGATTAAATTTGTCATAAAATAACACCAAGTTAAATAATACTTAGATTTTATTTTTTTTCAAATGCGGAGGGCATAGGTAGATCCTGATAACTCTATGTAGAATTAATTTCCTTGGAACTCTAGAGTATCAGATAATCATCAGTGTCAAGCATAAAAAGAAAACAACCAAACAGTTGTATAATGGAGCAGATTTGAACAAGTGGTCTTAATTCCATTTTTTTTTTATATATAAAAATTTGTTTATATATATTTATATATATGTATATATGTATACACACCAAATCCTTGAATTTCAAGCCTGCAACAATCTGGGAATCTATATCCTGCATGCTTGGTTTATATCTCTTGCAACACCACTATGGTGTAGAAGTTTACTTCTTTGGATGGCAGTCTGACAGGTGATGACAGAAAAATGTTTCACAGGAAGTTTCAATTAACAGCTTATGTGTGGGAAAAATGAAAGAAGACAGAATAACTTCTGAATCAGCATGAATAAATCATATTTTGTACAATACAATTAAAATTCATATAGGTCAGCAACAACAACAACAAAAAGTTGTGTTCATTTTCTCAGCAAAATGAAAAGGAAAAAAAAAAAAAAAAAAGATATATTTAGGGCTAGTCATTTTGTTTAACTTATCTCACTCCAGAAAGTGCTTGGGAGACCTTAGCACTTAGCACTAATCCTAGATGTTAACGTATTTCAAAATAATGTTTTTGTCAGAAGAAAATAAAAGCATAGCATCTCAGAAATGTTGAAACGAATGATTTTACATTGAAATTAAACTTTTTTTTATTTTTTTAGTGGAAAGTGTTTCTCAACTCTACCAATTGTCGAGCACTGTGGCCAGAGTCCTCACACTGCTCTTGATGACTGAACTATTTGTCAGAAAATTCCACTCAGCCCTAAATCCCTCACACCAGGCTTTAGTTAGAGCCTTGTCCACGCTCAAGCCTTTGTGAAAAATGATTGTCGACATTTTCTCAGGATGACTCAACATTTCCAACGATTTAGGACAGCAGAAAGCTTTATCAGACATAATTTAGACTTCCAGGCTATTATGTTTTACAAGATGGTTGCGGTAGTTAGCAGCTGGGCAGCAGAATTTGGCAATCAGAATACAGCTGTGGCTAATACATTTTTACACAATACTCCTATTAGTTAAAAAAAAAAAAAGGATATTTCTTTGGAAGTGACATTATGGCCCTGACATATGATTTTCG